GTATATATGGCATCATTATAGTTTTTCTCTTGCAAAAATTCATGTAGCAGAACGAAAACCCGCGCCGATTGGCAGGCTGTCCGTGAAGTAACAGTTCCMCAAATTCACTATTATTCAACTGTGAAAGGCCCATTCTCAGTCCTTTTTAGCTCGAAGATTTCGAAGCAATCGAAGAGTTATTGGAGGGGGACGAATCTGTCACTCACTAAGTAAGTCACTCAGTCAGTCAGTCAGTCACTCACTTTCCTGTAAACTTGAGCCTGCGTACTTGTTTTCAGAATTATTAATTTATTCTAATTATTGTATAGTAATTTAATTACTAATTTTCCGTTACCGGTTTCCCTGTGCTATATTTCATTGAATATATTTATMTTTTGGCAAATAAAGAAATCAAAGAAAAATGGACGCAAACGGGTCTCGAACCTGGTCCCGTTCACTGGAAAAAATCGCGCGCTTTAAAGGTTGTAAATTTGATGTAAGTGTCCAAAATTCTGCAAATTTAATGGAAATCATTTACATCAAYTTTACAGAATTTTGGACACTTACTTCACATTTACATCAAACTTACAACCTTTAAAGCGCGCGATTTTTTCCAGTGGTTGGGTCGGAAATTATAGGCACTGCCACTCAACCACGCATGCTAATGGCGAACAATAGCGTTTAGACTTGTCTTTTAACTGGCATGCGTTCGCCCCTGCTTGTCTAGAATCGAAGTTAAAATAATAAGATTTAAACGAAAAAAACTGTATTCAAAGATAGTTTACTTAAAATTGTATTTGTAAAGTAATTATAATTTGATTCATCGTATCACATTCCGTATTCGTCTAGCCAATCAATCTTCGAGTCGTGTTGCCATCACCTAGTGGCGGCTTGATTTTCCTTCGGTTCGTATGTCGAGGCCTTGYACGTGATTCGCCTCCGTTATTTCTTCTTTCCAGCGTGGTCGATCGTTAGAAGATTTCGTAACGTTGAGCTGGAGCCATATCGGCAAACTCAACATAACACGTTTATAAAAGAGACTCGATATTCTAAATGATTCAAGAACATGAATATATATGCTAAATAAAGAACTAATATATATCCAACTTWTAAGGAAAAACCTAGCAATGTTTGAGATTTTAGACAGATTGTGTAAGCTACTACGACGAATAATTTCGACGTCGTTGAAAATGGCGCTGATCAAGGTCTTCGCGGTAATTCAAGGCGCGCAGAGGATCATGCTGGGACGGCTCCTTTAAGTACTCCGCCATGCTGTTCATATGATATCCTCTCCCACCTTGAAACAAATTGTCCAAAAAAAACAAAAACATTATTCAATCAAGTTATGTCAGTATGTTATTGTTAGAAATACATGATGATTACTGGGAGAATAAAATTGTTGAAAATGTTACTACGCGAGGCAGAAATTTTTCAGTAAATGCTTTCTTGATTCTTCTATTTTRATCGAGACTTGGATGATTCTGGATAAAATTAATATAATTTTCCTAAATAAAATCATAAAAGGTTTGGTAAGGTCAATAGTTGAGTTTCGCGATCTCAGTGTTTTACGCTGTCGGCTAGCCTCAATTGTGTGCAAATCAGAAATTTAGATAAAACTCGTTAAATTTCAAACTATTTTTATTGTATTCTATACTCACGGATCTCTTGAATTTGCACCGGCTGTTAGTGAATAAAAGAATTTATTACATGGTTTTGAGGCTACCACAGCGTAAAAGAGATTGCTAAAAGCGACTATTTTCAAACTCATTAATTATTCATAAGCTAATCATCCAATCCAGTGCTTAGAGATGGGCTTTGAAACTAGTTGGCATGTTCGCCTTGAAATTTCTAGCTCTGTTGTAAATCAGTTACGAAGTTAATAATAATCAAATAAATAGCAGAATTTTCCAGTCAACTATCACATTTAGAATTAATTTAGTGAAAAAGTCTTTTGGACTCCGACAGCCTCACTCATCGATCTGCAAACATTCCGCGCTATATGTGCGCCATCTTAATTAGTAGCGTTTCACCACCTAGTTCCCAATACGATTCTTCGGTACACAGCATGCTCTTAAATCTTATGAATTACGCTCGTCGCAAGATTGACATGAATAACAGATACAGAACTTTGAAGAGCTTTTGTCTTCAGATGCATTTCAAATTATGGAAACATGAATGCGCGGTCAGGATGAAGATGCAAGCCTATCTATTTCAGTTTAATTTAACTCCTTTGTTTTTCCCCTCTCGAATAATTGATTATTGTAAGAAGTATCATTTAAGTATAATATCAGAGGCGTCTTCCGGAATGGAAATTCCCGTCCAGAACTCAAGTTACCTTAGTCAGTGGAATCCGAATGAAGAAAAGATTGTTGCTTGAGCTGTAATGGAAAATATTGAKAAGCGAAACAAAATATGAGAAAACGCCGGGGATAAATTGATTGTTGTAAGTTACAAAGTAATTATAACAGAAACAATTGACATTAACTGTGCGGCGTTCTCTAACAAATATATTCCGCCGTAAATTGCAAACTTTAAAAGAATTAAAATAGTCCTTCGTATGGTTATTGAAGTCAGAATGAAATTTCATACAAATCTACTAACAGCGCGAWCACACTAGAAACAATTCATTTAGTTCTAAATAACTGAATTTTATCACTCAATAGTTATTCTCGTAAACATTAGGTTTATAATCCTTTTTATTTGAGTTCATCGTGAACTGAGCGCCGGGTTTGTTCCGGTTGCTTAGTCAATCTGTTTTATAGGGATAAATATTACTGAAAGAATCACTACAATATAGTAACAGACAATGAGTAGGAAGGGTAGATTAAAGAATAAAATAAAAATACCATCATTCCATTTCTTCTGTTCTCATTTCTTCATTCGAGCTTACTTTAAAATATACTGAAGTCGATCGTATGAAGCACTCGATTGTATATTGAGTATTGAATAAAAACAGTTCTCCAAAATTRTTTTCTATTCATGGTTGTATGCAAATTTCTAATTTCCTATCTCCATCGTTCGGCTTTGTTTGTTCTTTTTAGATAATTCATTGTTTCTTCTCAAACGTTTATGTAATCAAATTGTCATTCTAATTTCCTGTACAATTTCACCTGTTTTTGCCAAACCGTATGTTGTCAGTTAAATATTGACAACCATTCTCACTCACCCGCCCCGTCGCCGGTTTAAAATACTCAAGAATTTAAACTGTCTTTAGAACATATTTTTGTCTAACTTTGATCAAATCATTTACAATGAAGTTAAACTGGACGTGGAGCAAGTAAGAGTTACAAACTCTTTTGTAAAAGAAATGTAACTCTACTTAAGCCAAGTTAGTTAAATTATCACACAAAACAATAGYAACCAAGAGTTTGCTGCTTTGTCATGGAAATATCGTTTCAAAAGTTCGTGTACGTCCTCATGGATGACTCAGTATGATGTTATTGTGTAGAAAAAAAGAATGTCCTTGTGCAAAGAATTGGGAAAGGTTGAAAATTGATGGGTTTACGTAGCACATTTTTTAAAAATTCGATCTTGGTGAATGAACATGCTTTGGCTCATATTGTTAATTAAATGACAAATTATTTTGTTTGTGTTGTACCAAAAACAAATAGAAAAATATCTAAATAATAAAAGAAAACAAAAAGAAAAGAAAAACTGGGAAAAATGAAAGGAATTGCACCAAAATGAAACCAACAAGGAATAAATAAATAAACTTAACTGAAAGTCTARTGAACCAAATAATTGAAAAAGCGGTTATGAATCCCAAAAATACATAGAGAATAAAACAAAAAAATGTACCATAAGTCAATGAATGATTAAAAGATTATAATTTACAGATTCAAGTAACTTAGGAATAAAAATACAACATAGGAAGGAGAATATCAAATAAAAAGAAATGTGCTAAAATTGATGAAGCGATTGAAGAAGGACTTTAGGACCACGTAATCGTATTACAGACATTTCAAACTTAACGCTCACAGTTTGATGCAGAAACCGTTAGGTCTTCAAAAGCATGTTCCTGGCGGAAGCACCTAACTATAAGTGTACTGTGGAACTAGACACAATATCCGCGTGTGAAAAATCAAGCTGTTCAACTATCATTTGTTTTCTTTAGTCTCTGGACTATCACATCTGGTCCGGCTCTACTATCAGACCTTTATTCACGGGTTTAAAGGTTTGATGCTTCTTTACTTGACGTCCTTCCGTGTACAAAATCCCTTCTCGTATTGGTTAAGCATATATATAGTCTCGGTATGGTTCCACAGTACTCTTCGATAAAACCTATATAATGTAAAGAAATAAAAATTGTATAGACTGCAGTCTAATTCTAAAACTATTCAATTACACGGTCAGAGACTGAGGGACGAGCGAAAAGAACAAACAATTTATGTTAATGCAGTTTATTATTACCTATGTGAATAAAAAGTCTCATTCAAACCAAATATAAAAGACCAAACCCACGACGCTTCGACTCCAGCGAAGATTGAAACTGACATTTACTAAAACGTCCGAAAATTAGAAATCCAAGGTCATATTTCTGAATTTTTGCGGCGTTGTACATTTAGTAGTCGTAAAAAAATATCACTTCCTCTGTATCATTTCTTTGTTGTGGTGCTAACGASCATATTTTCCCTGTTAAGTTGCTTTTCAAAAGAAGTTTAGTAACGAAATTACCACGACTTTGTATGTCGCTTGCACGTAGAATCATTTTATTAGCTGAAAGGCGTAGTCCCTCTCACACACCTGCATGACCTCACGATTACTCAACTTACAACCTCTTCAAATCTACATCTCTATTTTTAAGGCCATGAACAAAGTGAACTTTTGTTTTTAGATAAATTCGCGGTTGAAGTGTCTTAATTTCCTAAGACAATACGAGGCCTCTTTCGGCAAGTTGTAGCTTTTTTTAACACGCTATAAAACGGCCGCATGGGTGTTCATCCCTTTTCAAATGGTAATGAATTACGGGTTAAATAGTAGTTCCTCTTGTCGTAAACACTACTTATAAGAAACACGACTGTGAACCGCTCACAGCACAAGACAAGTCGGGCCACGGTGATTCCTACTTGCGCAAGCATGAATTTCAAACTTACTTTTTTGGGGATGCTTATTTTAACCATCGTTCTTATCAGCTTGCCGCCAAATACAGAAACAGTATTCACTGGAATATTGAGACGCAAGGGAAAAAAGGTATTTATAAAAATAAATAAAAATTCAATGTTTTGGATTTCTTGCTGTTTTGTGTTAAAAAGACTTCATGAATGTTTTGATCCAGCGATCAAAATCACAAATTGATGAACATTTAAGTGACAAGCATAAAATTGAAGATTTTTGTCTATTTTATAGATTCTTATCAGTCGAAAATCTATCGGAAACAAAAATATTTTTTTAAATTCACATCCTACGTAATTTCGACACAATTGTTTCCTTAGTTAGATTCCTCAAAAACACAGGATAAAAACTCTCCATGCTACAAATATTTTGATCACGAAAAAAAAAAGAAACAATAGCAAAAACAAGAAGAATAAATCAATATTTCTATTACTGAAGGACTTTCTGATTAATCAATTTTGATCAAAATGCTTAGAACACCGAATACTATCTTTTGTCTGTTGATTGTAGACATTGAGAAACCATTGCCTCTGGTATTACGTAATTTCCGAGATAATGAAAATCTTAATTTTCAGRACTTTTTTTCGGCACGTCTCACAAGAGTGGACGCACATATAGGACTCATGCATATAGTCACATCTTTGGATAAATAATTGAATTACATCTGCTTTTATCATATATTGATAAACATAGGGATATGGCTAATAGGTAACAATGCCCTGCATGTTATTTTCAATATTGCTCAACACTCAAGAATACAAAAAAACAATAGAAAGAAAACAACATTTTATATCAACTAGGAACACAACGGAACATATATGAAATAACTTTCAATTTTMTTAAATGTAGGATTATTGGAACTGTTACTTATAAAAACATCTTATAATGTGATGTGCTTTTTAAAATTTCTTTAATTTTTTTAATGAATGATGTGCTATTGAAAGATTTCCCACAACCGGACGCTACCATCAAGTGTAAGTACGCTGACCAGTACTTTTCCAATGTTGTCACGAGAGCTGCAAATAATTTCTTAGACTGAGATGTGTGGCTTGTCTTGTTTGGCATGGCATACATCTTTCATTTCTAAACCATTCGATGTCTTTGTAGGACTTTATTTASACTGCAGTGCTTCCAAAATTCATAAATTAAATACCTATAATTTCCCGTAGTGTAAATCGTCTTCCTTTTCTTCCTTAGGGCTTTTCTGTAATTAAGCTGCAAAGGTTTCCAAGCGCACACAGTCAAATCAACAATCACATGAAAGATTTGATGCAACTAAAATAAAAATTGATTCTCAGTTGCTGTAAATGCTTTACATCACCAAAAAATAGATTATGATATTTTATTCTATTGTTTATCGTATATGTTGATTTTWTTAATAAAGATTGACTGATACATGTACAAGACGCCTGATTGGTCTTGTTTACTTCTCTAAATTTTCTAGCTAGTGTTTTCATTTAGTTTTAATTATCTAAAAGCTAAATTATACTATAAAATCCTTGGGCCATTTACAAATGATCAATTCCCTTTGTGTGTTTCAGAGAAATTTGAGGACCAACGACGTCAATGAAGTAGTAGCCAATCAAATATGCCAGCTATCAAAATATCTTCGATGTGAAAATAAAGAAACTACGTCTACGGAACAGATCGATTATGATTGAACAGATGACATCTTATAGAAACCTAGTTAAATATAAATGTATTTAAAATATATGATACAATAAAAAAAGAATTATTGCTAAATGAGTTCCAGAAATGATATATCCTCAAGGCATAGCAATTATTACTCACACGTATTTTAGACTTTGCGCATGCCTTGTGTTGATCGTTCCTTGTTGTGAACGATAACCCCTGGATTGCGACAATCTTTTTCTATMAAGATCTTCTACGATGGGTTGTTTAAGCTGCCTGTCGATCGGATCCTTAATTTTTCAATAGATTGCCCGTTCCGATGAATTCATCAAAAAGGGACTGGCGACTACTCACAAACTCGATCCCGTTTAAAGCAATCGAAAAACAGACCCAGGACAAGAAAGAGCACACTAAAATTAGTAAAGCTGCTAAGTTTGAGAGTATTCYGATTAATAATTACAGAGTTTCAAGCGTTTAAAACTCGAAAAAATTAGAAAGAATGTATGGAGCTCTTGAGCAGCGTCCCCAAAACCATACATCATTCTCTCTTATTTTTACAAATTTAATAAAATTCCTACTCGGTGAGTATTATTTAACCAAATATGCTCAAACTCGAAAAGAACCCTTATTTTAGTGTGTTTTTTRATGTGATGAGGTTCAGTTTTCGATGAATGTAATATTTTCACGCTCGTCCCCAGTCTCCTTTTGAATTTCGGAATGGCTTATTAAAAGTATCAATCAATCAATGAATTGATAGCCACGTGCAATYAATTTAGTTTTGCTAGATTATTCATCGTCTTGCTTTATGAAAGGCACGACTACCAGTACGAAATTGCGCCGCCATAACATCTCGTCGAGACCTGAACATGTGCATGACTGGGAACCCAATGCGAAAATTGAGTTATTACACACAATTCCTGGGGTGGATCCACAGGGTGCTTTTGTAGTAATGATATATACCTAAAAACTTAGTATAGCAGATCAGATCCAGTGGAACTGATCATTTTTGTTAGCTTGGTATTGACTAGAGCAAGAAAAAAATCCGGCACAATTTGATCGAAAGGAAATTGACTTTTTTTGCAACGTTTTTTTATTTTGTGACTACACTTCTCAAATAGATTGTTAAGCAGCATAGTGGCAGACACATGCTGTGTATGTTACTAGCATTTTCTTGAGAAAAGTATAACAGGAGTATAAACAGCACAAAAACGAAAAAAACGTTTATATTGATAAATGAAAAAAAATTATGTTGTTCGAAAAGGGGGCGGTGCGTCCGCACCCAAAGCACCTCCCCTGGGTCCGCCCCTGAATTCACTTGAATAAAATTTGCGGGTCCATTCCCCGCTCCGCTCCGCCCCGTTCCGTTTTAGTTCTTTTTTTTAATGTTAATTGCAGATAGTGCAGTATAATTGCTTGAGTTGTTGACTGACTGAATGTCTTCGATTTATTTGTTTGTTCCTTCTTGTCTCACTCCTTACTTATTAGTACTTCACCTCCCCCTGAGTATCATAATAAATTTTGTAAAAAGGTTTTGCTACACCCTGTGATGGGTGGCGTCGTCTTGTCCAGCTCGTGGTGGTGACGTTTGGTTTGATTGGCCGCTGACAAGACACACCGCGGGAACGGAGGAAAACAAAATTGTATTAAAATTAAAAATGGCGGTCATTGCGAGCGATGCTGCTTCGATGCTTGCAGAAGCCCTTGAAAAAATGGACGGACTTATTTCAGACGATAAAATGATGATGGAAGGAATAAGAAGCCATACAGTGTCTCATTCACCCAATGAAAGAGTATTAGGGCTGGCAGAGGATTTACAAAATGCACTTACTACCGTCTCTCCGTCGAACCGTGCAAACCTCCGAATCCCCGTAACTACATCAGATTTTCTACTAGAATGGCTGAAATCACAATCGGTAGGGAGACTGATATCTGCAGTCTTT